TAGAACTAGAGGCCCGGTGCACGAAATTCGTGCACTGGAGGAGGGGGTGTCCCTCAGCCCAGCCTGCACCCTCTCCAATCTGGGAACTCTTGAGGGATGTCCAACTGCCGGTTTAGGACCAATCTGACTGCCAGTTTAGGACCGATCCCACAAGGATGGGTCCTAAACCAGCAGTTGAACATCCCTCTCACAATCTGGGACTGCTGGCTCCCAACCGCTCGCCTGCCTGCCTGCCTGATTGCCCCTAACCACTCCACTGCCAATCTGATCACCCCCTAACCCAGTAGTTCTCAACCTTCCTAATGCCACAACCTTTTAATATAGCTCCTCATGTTGTGGTGACCCCCAACCATAAAATTATTTTCGTTGCTACTTTATAACTGTAATTTTGCTACTATTATGAATCATAATGTAACTATCTGATATGCAGGATGCATTTTCAGGGGTCGTGACCCACAGGTTGGGTCTAACCACTCCCCTGGGATACTGATCGATGCCTAACTGCTCCCCTGTCAGCCTGATTTCCCCTAACTGCCCTCCCCTGCTGGCCTAGTCACCATTAACTGCCCTCCCCTGCCGGCCTGGTCCCCCCCAACTGCCTTCCCCTGCAGTCCTGATCCCCAAAAACTGCCCTCCTATGCAGGCCTGATCCCCCCAATTGCCCTTCCCTGCAGGCCTGGTCCCCCCCAAACTGCCCTCCCCTGCAGGCCATCTTGTGGCAGCCATGTTGTGGCCACATGGGGGTAGCCTTCTTGTGTGTTGGAGTGATGGTCAATTTGCATACTGGTCATGACTAATTAGCATACCAGAACTAATTAGCATACACCTTTCTTATTGTGTTGGAGTGATGGTCAATTTGCATACTGGTTATGATTAATTAGAATATCTGGTCATGAGTAATTAGCATATCCAGGCTAATTAGCATATCCCTCTCTTATTATATAGGATAGCCACCTATTTTATATGAAAGAGCCTAAGTTTCTAGTCTATAATCACTAAGTGATGATGAATAGACTAGAATAATAAAAACATTCCTAAAAGGCAACAAATTTTCACAACACAAGCAACATTAAATAATTAGCTGGTTGGCAACAGATCAGATCCTATGCATTTTTTGAGGCCCCAAGTACAAACTCATAGTTAAAAGGAACATTGGAGCCGAAACCGGTTTGGCTCAGTGGATAGAGCATCGGCCTGCGGACTGAAAGGTCCCAGGTTCGATTCCGGTCAAGGGCATGTACCTGGGTTGCGAGCACTTCCCCAGTGGGGGATGTGCAGGAGGCAGCTGATTGATGTTTCTCTCTCATCGATGTTTCTAACTCTCTATCTCTCTCCCTTCCTCTCTGTAAAAAATCAATAAAATATATTTAAAAAAAAAAAAAAGGAACATTGGAACTAACTTGCAGGCTGAAATCTGTACTTAGACCAGTCTTTTAAACTACTTACCCATATTCTGAAGACACCTAAAGAATTTCTCAGGAGAATAAATATCTAGATGGTGCTCTCTGCAAGAACAGTCTTCTAAACCAGAAAATAGTGTTTTTCTGATGCCACTGCAATGCATCTATGACCCTCAGTTATATTCCTGATCCTATCCCCCACTTCAAGAAACAATTTTAAAAAAATCTGAGTGTGCATCTTGTGATGCTCATGAGATAGAACCATCCTAAAAGGGAACGGAAGAGGTACTAGTTTATTAAAAATGATCTCCACTTAGAATTGTCTCAGCTGATTACTCTAATTATGTCAAAGCATGACCAGGAAAAGAAAATGTAGTCAAACTAAGAGGCAACTTAAGCCTCCATTCCTTATTAAGCCATTAACCGAGAAATCCCAGGTGTTCTGGGGGTTCATCGGAATCATTTTTCAGAGGATGAGATTGTATAGGGGTTTCTGACTTTCCATGGGAGCTACAAAGGTATCATAGGAAATCACAGCCTCCATTCTTACAGCATAGAACCCCATTAGAATTTTTATTAATGTAGGAACAAATAGAAGAATCCCAAATGTTTACAGATGTACACAAACACACACACACACACACGCACACACACACACACACAAACACCTAAAACAAAACAACAACTAAAAACTATGGATCTCAGAGAAAAGGTTTTTTAAAATCTTTTAATTATTAAGTAATTTCCACATACCACATTCTCTGCTGGAGCTCTGAGCTATAAGGGCAAGAAATGAGTTGGTATTACAGATATTTTTGGGAGTTGCCCATAACCAGCAGCCCTGTAGGCCCTCCCATAGGATGGTAGAGGACAGTACCTGGTCATGTCTAAGATAACAAGGGATAGAGGCCAGGAGTGCTTGCCATGTAATCCAACACAGTAAATGAAATAAAAGAATTCACAAGTTCTAGTTCTTTGCTTAGTCTGTTGATCTGTGCAGCCTGTCTGACCTAACATAGATCACAAAAGAGCCAGAGTTAGCATTTCGGGGATAAAAATTACACTAAAATATTTTTAAAGACATAAATTATTTAATTGAAGATGGACTTTTAGATGCACTAAGTGGAATGGAGAGAAGGCATATTACTGAGGTGACAGAGGTACTTACACGTGCCCCAACTCGTGGGCTATGGTAAAGGCGGCGCTGAGACCATTTTCTTCACTAATAGAACAGCTCCGTAAAGGATCGCACAGGGTGCCTAATTCTGCCAAGCCTGAAAAATTTCACATTCATATTTCATTAGAACGGGAAATACCAAATCATAAGAATTCAATTTTAAAGCATTTACCAATGGCATTGCTATCTAGAAATGAATGCAGAGTGACTGTTAACAGTGCACGAACATTTTATAAGGTAAAGAAGGAAAAAAATGATTTTTGTGAGTTTGTCTTTTACAGAAATTCTTGGATTCCTTTACTAAAGAAAATACTCTAAAAATATGGGCAAGCAAACAATTTTTCTAAAACAGGAAAAGAAAAAAAAATATTTGTTGTAGGAAGGATAAGCTTTTAGACCCCCATTAGTGTAGACTGTAAGAAAGGCAATGTATAAAATTGGTAATAGGATAACTGGTAAAGAAAATAGCATGGGACACAATAATTTATGAATTATCTATAATTTCCTTAAATTTTCAAGCAGCATAGAATTATTCAATTATAATGATAACTAAATGAGTGAATACAGGGTGGGGCAAAAATTGGTTCACAGCTGTTCACATGAAAAATACAATCTACACTAATAAAAGAGAAAAATGGTAATTGGCGTACAACGCTACCCTTTTCATTGGCTAATCAGGGCTACATGCAAGTTAACTGCCAACTCAGATGGCAGTTAACTGACAACAAAGATGGTGGTTAATTTGCATATGTAGGCACAATGCAGGGAAGCGAAAGGGAAAGCAGGAAGAAGCCCCCTGCCACTGACAGTGATCGGAAACCCAGGGGGGCGCTAAGAGCCCCCAGCGCCGCCTTTGCCCTGCCACACAGCCAAGCCT